CTGTCCGTCAAAGCCGAGCATAAATTCTTAGGCTTAATCTTGGACAACAAGTTGACCTTGGTGCCACACATAAAGTATATAAAAACAAAATGTTTAAAAGCCATGAATGTTATAAAGGTGTTGTCACGTACTACTTGGGGTAGTGACAGGCAATGCCTCATGAATCTGTATCGAAGCCTCGTTCGCACCCGCTTAGATTATGGGGCCGTTGTTTATCAATCTGCAACTCAAAGTGCTTTGAAGATGCTGGACCCCGTGCACCATTTGGGCATTCGCCTTTCTACAGGTGCTTTTCGCACCAGCCCCATAGAAAGCATTTATGTTGAGTCAAATGAGTGGTCGCTTCATCTGCAGAGAACTTACATGTCCTTTGTCTATTTCCTTAAGGTGAAAGCGGATAAGAAGCACCCCTCATACTCTACTCTTAATGATTTGTCGAGCTCAATTCTGTTTCAGAACAGGCCTTCGATGAGGCAGCCCTTCTCAGTTCGCCTGAAAAGTCTAGCTGAGGAAACTGGAGTCTCACTTGAACACAGCTTAATGGCTCCTGTAGCATATCCGCCACCGTGGCAATGGCAGACTATAGACTGTGATGTGTCCTTTCTAGAAGTTACAAAACATGCGCCTATAACCCATATCCGAACATACTTTCTGGAACTTCAACACAAATACACACGTCCTGAGTTCTTTACAGATGCCTCCAAGTCCAACTCCTCTGTGTCCTACGCTGCTGTCGGCCCATCCTTTTCGGATGCTGGCCCTCTACATCCAGGCACAAGTATCTTCACAGCAGAAGGTTACGCGATACTTGTGGCAGCTAAACACATCATACAATTACAAATACCAAAAGCAGTAATTTACACAGACTCCCTCAGTGTGGTAACGGCTCTGCACAGTCTTAAAAAACAAAAAAACCCGGTCCTTGTCTCACTTTGCTCCACTTTGTGCCCACTCTACACACTCAAACAACATGTTGTAGTGTGCTGGGTGCCAGGGCATTGTGAGATCGAAGGCAACGTGAGGGCGGATCAGCTCGCTGCATCCGTCCACAAAAGCACTGTCTCTACACCCATATTAATCCCGGCCCTTGATCTTAAGCCCTCTCTCAAACGAAACCTCAGGGACTACTGGCAGAGCAAGTGGGATACACACACACAAAACAAACTACACATTATTAAGCCACACCTTGGTCATTGGCTGCCAGTATCAAAATCGTGCCATACAGAGGTAATACTAACGAGACTCAGGATAGGACACACATACACGACACACACACATCTTTTGTCCGGTGGTGATCCACCATTGTGTGATAAATGTGGTGAGGCATTAACAGTTCTTCACGTTTTAATTCAATGTAAACAGTTAGACATTAGACAATGAAGCTCATTTTGTCCCCCGCGCAGTCGCAGTCGAAGTGACATGATCTCGGCAGCGATTCTTATCGCAACAGGCTCATTGTATTGAATATGAATGCCCAAAGTGTTGTCAATAAATCCCAATCCCTGGAAATTGCATTACTTGCGCACAACCCCGACGTAGCAGTAATAACTGAGACTTGGTTAACCAGCGATATCACTGACGACTGCGTCTTTCCTTTATCGTTTTCGGTCTTCAGATGTGACCGTGGGTCACGAGGGGGGGGTGTGGCTGTTCTGTTAAAGAAAAATGTGAAAGCTGTGGTTTTAAATCAAATAGAAGACCACGAAAGCCTGCTTCTCAAGATAACATTTTCTAGTTTCACTTTCGTCCTATGTGCGCTGTACAGACCTCCCAGTTCTGATTCTTCTTATTTGCGAAAGCTCCAAGATCATTTGTTTAGTTTCCGCAAAACCAGGCTTATGCTTGTTGGCGATATCAATCTACCAGGTATTGATTGGCCTACTGGATGTGTCGGAGCCGCAGAGCACTCTGATATTCTATCCGACATTATGCTAACTCATAATTTAAACCAGGTTGTTCTTGAGCCCACCAGAATTTGCGGTACAGCTAGGTCCGTACGCGATCTTGTGTTCTTAGATCGCAGTTTTTCTGATTATTCATTACATGTAAGTGACGAGATTTCTGATCACAAGGTTGTAGTTACCAATGTCTTTCTAGAACCTAAAAAACGTTTGGCGGGAGTTAAGCATACATATGTCAAAGACTACTCCAGGGCGAGGGACGAGTCTGTTTTGGATTACCTTGACGTAGCTTACGAAAGCTTTCAAGGTAAAGATGTGCGGCATTTGTGGGAAATGTTTAAAGACCATTGCAAATTTTGTTTAAAGTCTTTTATACCTGATAAGAAAAAACGAACCAAAAGGGTCAATCCATGGATTAACCGAGATATTATTCACCTAAAACGGCGAATTAAACGTATCAAGAAGACTCGCAGTCCCGATTGTGATGTCTTAAATAGGTTAGTCTCCAAACTTTCGAGCAGCGTAAAATCCGCAAGGAAATGGTATTTTTGCGAAAGTTTGCCTCAGTTCATTTTAAACGATCCAGGAAAGTTCTGGAATCACATCCGTAGTGCACGTAAATCGGTCGATCAATTATTGGTTGATGGCAAGATGGAAACATCTCGTCTCTCCATTGCTAATGCTTTCAATTCCTTTTTTCATTCTGTGTTTTCAAACTATCAAGGTGATGAATTTTATATGGAGGCTCATTCGGAACAGATCGAGCTTGTTTCTTTTGAAGGAGTTTTTGAAATGCTTCTGCAATTAGATCCCAAGTGCACTACTGGCCCGGTTGAAATCCCGAACGCCTTTCTGCGTCGCTATGCAGAATTTTTAGCTCGGTTTTTGACAGTCATTTTTTCGTGAATCTTTTCGGACGTCCGTGCTGCCCCATGATTGGCTTATGGCTAGGGTAATTCCAGTTTTTAAAAATGGAGACCGTTTCCATGTTGACAATTATCGACCAATTTCCTTGACGTGCTGTTGTTGCAAGATGATAGAACATATTGTAGCTAACCATATTCTTAATGTACTGGAAAAAAATAAAACATTGAGTCCCTTCCAACATGGTTTTAGAAAGGGATTTTCCACCGTTACGCAGTTGGTCACCGACGTTCATAGCTTTAGTTCAATCTTAGATCACTCCGGGCAAATTGATGTTTTGTTTTTAGACTTAAGCAAGGCATTCGACAGGGTTCCTCACGGTAGCCTTCTTTTAAAACTTAAACAAGCAGAATTCCTTCTACACTTGTAAATTGGGTTAATTCATATTTGAAAGATCGAACGCAATTTGTAGACATCGATGGTACTTGTTCCTCTTCTCTAACAGTGACATCAGGTGTGCCCCAGGGAAGTGTGCTGGGGCCCCTGCTTTTTTTGTTGTATGTTAATGATTTAGTGTCTGTGGTTGGTGATACCGTGAATATTGGAATGTTCGCGGATGATATCATGATTTATACTGAAGTGCAGTCTGCTTCTGATCAACATCGGCTAGATAGGGCTTTATGTGACATATCATCTTGGTGCGACAAATGGGGCATGAAAATTAGCACTACAAAAACAGTTCTTTTACGTATAACCAGGAAACGAAAGGCCATAACTTTCCGGTACAAAATTAAAAACACCTTAATCGAGGAGGTTAGTACGTTTAAATACCTAGGTATCGTATTGAACTCCAGATTAGATTGGAACGACCACGTTCAGCAGGTAACTTCTTCAGCGCTAAAAAACTTGGTCTTTTACGGCATAAACTTCGAGGTACACCTAGTAACATTAAGCTTTTAGCGTATAATTCCATAATTAGGCCTAAACTGGAGTATGCAGCGGTTGTTTGGGACCCGCACACGAACAAAAACATTAACGAATTGGAGAAGGTTCAGAGGAGGGCTGTTCGTTTTATTTATAATAAATATAAAAGAAGTGATTCTCCGTCAGGTATCATGGCACTCAATAAAATCCAACCACTACACATTAGACGCCAAATTGCCCGCTTAGCTTTTATGGAATCCCTAATTAAGTGTAAGACTGGATTATCACCCACTCCATTCATTAGTCCGTCCACCACGAGGAAAACACGACACACACATAGCCACAGTTTATCCCCATTCTTTTCCCGAACAAATACCTTTAAGTTTTCATATTTTCCACGCACGGTAGATGACTGGAATAAATTGCCAGAAAGAATTTTTAGTGGAAATTTTATGAGAGCCCTACACGATCATTTTAGAAACTTTTAATTACTGACGTTCGGGTTTTTAGCAATGTTTCTTGAAGTTGTGCGTGATTTTCTAGTTTTATCTGGATTGGAAACCCTGCTATGTTTGTGCGAAAAGTCGGTTTCACCGTGGCTTGTTTATTTTGTAGTTCCAAGTGAATTCTGCGTTTTGTTGCTTCATTGTTTTTGTTACATTGCATTGCATTGTATGTGCGTGAACATTCTTTTTTTCTGCCCGTCCTGCTTGGACCATTAAATTGGTCTGCAGTATTGTATAAATAAAATAAATAAATAAATAGACACTCTAAGAAGACAACGCTTTCCATTACCCTACCGACAACATATACCTTTACACCCTGCAATGTTCGTTGGTAGGGAACCGCTTTTTAGTTATAAATCATTGCTAGCGTTTTTAAAAGAAATTCATAGTTTTCATATCATATACCCGGGCATTCCGTAGCACGACCTCTCCTGAGAGGTTTTCGCTGTGGTGGCTACACAAGAAAGCACTTGCCTCACGGCCCTTGGACGCAAGGGTATGAACGAGTGAGGCACTTGTGCTAATGCCATACATATCCACCATCGTCTTTTATTATCACCAACTTTGTTCATCTATTCGCAGCACACACACCTTTCACGGCATGGTCATGATTTTATTACCTGTATGTTTTTACCCGCCTTACCGCGAGGAATTTTATGGCCCTTATACAGCCGCTAATCACAATCATTGTCCACATCTCTTGTCCCATGAACTGGCGCTCTTTGGCCATCAAATGGCCCTTGCGCCAAAAAACACCATATATCATCATTTAGGGTATTTATCGCTGTTTTTTTTTTTTTTGCAGGCTCTCTATGTAAAGTATGACGAGAAAGCGATGTGCTCAGCATTCACAATGCTCATGTTACGCAAGGCCTTCAAGGGATGTGGCCAAAGGACAACCTGCGGAAACTGTACGTGCTCTCAATCGGCGCTGTGGTCTTCCGAGCAAAGTTGACCTTTGCTGAAGATCCGAGTGTGACAAACTGAAGCAGCAGACAGCTCCAAGACATGATCTGTGCAAGTCACATTTAGAAGAGCTGCAAAAAACAAAAACAAAAAAATGAAAGGTGTATCCCCAGTGTTTATGTACTTTAATTACAATCATTTAAAACTTGGTGAATCAATGGCACTGCAGAAAGCCGATAAATGCTCGTCAAACTGTGGAAATACAAAAAGAAGCATATGATTTTACCATACGTATGAACGCTGCTTCTTTCCGTTGCCCCCAAAAAGCACATGGTACAGCTAAGCGTACTTAGGAACTGACAACTGAGAACGTAGCAGATGTTGAACATAAAAAATTTTCTTGCTTAAAACAAGTCACGCTAATTGAATTTTCAATTGAACTTTGCTCAATAACTTTTCTTTGTATGCGCTTTCAAAGAAGTGCGGGCATGAAATTTTAGTTTGACTGCATCACCAAAGCGCGTAAACATACATAGTTTATTTAAATTATACTCTCAATGCCCCCAACATTGTACAGAGGAGAGGGGTTAATATATTTATGCTATACAATGTTATGCAAGACCACTTGAAAAGATTAATTGGTCTGACTTGTTGGCAACTGAGTGGAGAAGGTGGTTCTAAAGTTTAGATGTAAACTCGCAAAGGCTTATGGGATGCACGTGGTCTGCACTGGCTTCTGGTTTAATGGCTCTCCATCCGTCTGCTGCGTCCCTCTTAAGGTATCGCTGTGCTCTCTTTCTTCATAGCAACCCAACGTGTATGCTGTGAATTTCTAGAGCACGTTAGCATAGCCGCACCTACGACTGACCACGAAAAGAAAGCATGTGCTGTCGTGAAATATTTTCAAGTGGCAAACAACAGGTTGTACATGCTATCACAATTCAGCGTTTCTTCGGAATAATAAGTGGCATGGACTTGGCTGTCACGTTCTTCAACTATTTTACACTTGTATATTAATGCAGGGTGCCCACTAACGTGCTTATTCTTACAGGTTTCCATCTTTGGGGGTGCTCAGCTGCTTTTGCATTTGTAGTTGCACTGCAGCTCGCATCAATGTTCATTGTGTGAAAGGGGTATCCATTATTACTGAAACTATGCGTTCAACGGCAACGGCCTGGAAAACTGTTCAATCCTTCGTTTGTGATAACCTCGACTATATTACAGCCCTGACAAAGCTTTAAAAAGCTAAATATGTCGGCGGCAACTTTATTTAGCAAAGTCGAGCTTGTTTGGCGTTTACATATTGCATCGTGTCGGTAAACAAGCTGGTCGAGACGACACTCAACCCATAGTCAGGCGCTGTGCTTGTTATGCGTAGTTACCTTTTCTGCTCCATGTGCACTGGATGAGGTATGAATAAACCGATTACTAAAAGAAATGCTTGAAAAAACTCTTGAAATCACCAGCAATATATTGTATAGCTGTTCTATAAGTAGAACAGTATTTTCTTGTCTACATAACCTTACTGACATAATTTTAGTAGGTGTGGTGAATAAGTGCTCGACGACGTTGGCGCATCGCGACGAGCTGATCACCGAGTGCGGGCTTTTTTTCTTTCTTGATTTTTGATAGAGATACGTATACATATATGATGAATGACGGCGGTGGCAGCGAAGGTAAAACAAGAGAAAGAAAACTGCGGAAACTGTCCATATAATTGCTACGGCAATAAAAGAGCTGACCTACCTCCTTTGTACGGAGGGCAGATGCGACAGCATCACCCCGTGTGCCAGGCCTGCCATTGATTGTTACAAAAACAGAGAAGAACGGGCCACCCATCTTTAAAAAGAAGGAAGGAGCTGGAGCACAGGGGAGAGGGGGAATTGAAATAAACTTTGGTGTGATGACTGGCACTCGCGCTAACTCGGCAGGCATTAAAGACGGGTTTATACCCTTCTGTCTTGTACTCTCAATGCAAACAGACTGTTGGTATCGCATTAACTGCTAACAGCCTAAGTGAAACTAACAAATATGTACTATCTTTTGGACACAACATCGCAAAACTCAGATGAGAGCTGGCTGAAGGGACTATGATTACTCCAATTGCCGAAGCGGTTTTTGTCCAGTCAGTTATCTAAACACAAAGCAGAGGTTATAGTAGCACAGAAAGTTTACAAGCATGTCTCATTAGGCCTCGAGATAGCGTGCTCGAGAATACGCCTCCTCCTCCTCCCACTCAGAAAATGAAAAACATAGCAATAAATGCGATGATGTGATGTTTATTTTTTTTAACCGTCAGCTATTGAACTTGGAGATCAAGAGGCAAACTTGTAACAAGGCGTAGACGCTTCACCGTGGGCCTTCCAACCATAGAGCCGCCACCGATAGCCACCCTATTGAAAGCCGCGCATATTAAAACTGAATTCCGACTGCTCTGACAGGGAAGCATGCTTTTAAATATGAGATGACATTAAAAAAAAGCATGCGAAAATTTTGAATACGGACCGTAGCAATCTCGAGTTCGAAATGGCAGGTTGTTTTAGGAGCTTTTACCGCAACAGCGATTACAAATGCGGATGTGCTGGTGAGAGGAATTACGAAAATGAACTTCTGAATGAAGATCCACGCATAAAGTATATTAAAAGAAAATTGTCAACACGTTTACACAGTGCACGTGTTGTTCTATGGGCGTGAAGCGCACAAAATCAGACTGCGATATCAAGAAATCCACCGATGAATCACTGCTGCAGTTTCCCCACACTGATTGGACTAGACGTCACGAGCCCCTGCGGAGAGCGCGTGTCACCGTTAAGCAGACTTGCACAACAGCAGTTGCGTCGGCACCAAACATAGCATCGTGGACTACTTAGGACGCATGCGCGACCGCTGTTAATTTAGCGGAATAATTCTAGGCACGCGATTGTGACTTTGGTGGCATAGAGGACAAAATGCACATGCTTTGATGCGCCAGTGTGGTTATTGCCGGTAATAAACGCTCCCAAATCCGACTTTGGGGCAGTTGGGCACAATTTTCGTTGATATAATCAGGATGGCGGAGTAAATCTGATTTGGTGCAGTTGGCGCAGGAATGATATTACTGCAAATGCAAACATTAATTAAATGTTACAGAGTTGCTAAGCCAAAACAACAATTTCAACCTGTGCCATGCCCTATTAAAGAACTAAGGGCGATTTTTGATCATGTGGAAAATGTGCCCTTAACGCAGACGTCTTTTGCATTGCATGCTTCTTGACGAAACGTGGCTGATGTGGACAGTATGTATAGAGGACAGATACCATCACTGGATATAACCTAATCAAAGGGATATTAGAGTGAAACAATCAATTAGGTCTTATACTCCAAGACTCCATTGTCCCTAATATCACCATCATAGCTTGAACAATTGAAAATAAAATCAAGTTTGACGTCAGATTCATAAAGGTCGCGCACAAAGATTTTTGCGTAACACCATCAATTTCAAAGTGCATTTTTGTGTTTTCACGGCACTGGCCCAGTGAGGTTTTCTCAAACTTGGTAAGTTGTCTCTGGCCTTCTTAGAAGACAATGTACTTAACTTTCACTCAGTTAAAATGACACAGGTCTTATCAGATTCTGTAAAAATCTATGACGTCATGACAAACAGTGTAGGAGCTTCAAGATGGCATCACTCGCATTTTCTTTTGTCACCTTGTCTTGCTTACCAAGAGTCTTCTCGTGGTCGGTGTGGTGACTTTCGCATCGTAAAAGACTAATTTACATATATGAGAAAAATCAGTTTTCCCTTTTGTGTCTCTTTATGCTACCGTGGCAAGCGCAATGAACAAAGTTAAATGCAATGTTGGAAAATAAAAAACACAAAACTAAATGGCATGAAATTACCACACATACATACCTCGTCATAAAGTGCAGGATCATCATCTCTTTTCAGGCTTTGCCAGCCATAAAAGCAGCAAAACATGACCTGTCGAGGGATGAGGGCAAGCTCCTCAGTAAGGCATACAAAGCCTGACTGATGTGTTGCTCCCTCACAGTTGCCATATAGTCCAGACATACCAAGAACATGCATGTTCTGGAGCAAGAAAAATATATAGAGTTTTGAAGCAGAAAAAAAAAAAGGCTTCAGTGCAGCTAAAAGTGTATTTTAAAGCACAGAAAAGTGCTTTTGGAGCAGCCGAGAGTGCATTTCGGAACAGGAAAAAAATGCAATTCAGAGCAACCAAAAGCATTTTGCAAGCAAGAGAAAAGGCTTTCGAAGGCATTAAAGGCTCATTGCCGAGTGGGAGATTTGAATTTGTGAGAACTAAGACAGCCAAATAAATCTGAATTAATCAGCATTTCGTGCAGTTACATGCTGTACAGCTTGTACTACTTATAGCTAGGGTTACTGACCATACGTGATTTTGCGGCGCTGTCTTGACTTTCCATTCAGTGTCCACGTTCCACACCTACACTCTCGGGACTGCTATATGTCCCAGGTTTGTTTTAAACCGTTCTGTTACAGTATTTTTGTATGATCCAACGCCTGAAATGTGCCTCTTTGAGCAGGATATAAGAAACCAGAAGGGCCTTTTGGAGCATGCTGGGAGCAGCCGTAAAGGCCTTTTCAAGCAAGTTTAGCGCAGCAAGACATTTGGAGCAGACATAGCCTCGTTGCAAAGCACTTGTAAAGCAACACTTGCCCAATGCTGCATTTTTTAAACACATCACTAAATTATGAAGTAGCCTTATTACTGCGCTACACATTATATGGACACTCTCGACGGGTTCTAGCCATTGCCGTCATGCCCCGTATAAAGTCCGAATCGCCAACATTTCCCCGAGCACCTTATAATTTACCCACGGGTAGAAGCGCACGTACGAAGGCGACAAATGCGGCTGAAGCAGAGAACAAACCAGCCGGCCCATCGCCGTCCCTCAAAGGGCGCACGCGATAACATACAGAGTCAACAGGCCTGCCGTCGAAGCAGAGAGAAAGTGCTCCACCTGTTTTGAAAAACCATGAAAAGAAGCGAGGGCGGGGAGGGAGGCGGTGTCGCACAAGCGGCATTTATAAACATTGCTGCTAAGGGCCAGTCAGGATCGCTAGTGCGCACGCTACCTTGGCAGCGATTACCGAGCGGTTTAATTCAAAGTGAACTTGATGAAGTGTTATAAAAATAAAACATTGGAGGACCTTTCAGCTTCTCTTTTAAAAAGTTGAAAGTGATAGCGATATCCCCACATATTCGCATACAAACACACTATCCCCTTCTCAATCTTTAGTCTGCCTTCATTCCTCGTTCGAGGCCAAAACTATGCCGCAGGAGAAGCCTAAGTGTAAGCGCCCTCCGGTAGTTATCTTTATTTTCATCAACCTTGGATTTTTCCTAGCAGCCAAAGACGCTGCTGCCGCCCCTGCGACTGCCCCCACCGTAGATGCACGCGCATCTGATGCCTCGGTAGTTGTACTTCTTGGCTTCGCGCTCGATCTGTTGAGCGAGCTCGCGCGTCGGAGCGAGAATCAGACAGGACGGCCCTTTCCTCTCCTCCCTTGGAACTGGCTGGCTGTCGATGTGAATCATGGCTGGCAGTAGGAAGGCCAGCGTCTTTCCCGTACCCATCTGCGCGATGCCGATCAGGTCTTGACCCTGGAGAAGTATCGGCCAAGCCTGACTCTGAATCGGGGTTGGCTTCTCGAACTTGTTCTTGTAGATCTCGGCCAAGATTTCCGGGAAGTTGGAAAACGCCTCCTCGAACGTTTTCAGGGGATTGGTGCTCACATCCCATGGCGGCTCGCTTTCCGGTCCCAGATACTTGACGACTATATTATTGCTTTCTGCCCTGAAGACTGCCACCTCAGCCGCGGACATGCAGGCAACGCGAGGATCTTCGACGTAAAAGCTTTTCGCTATCGGTACAAGTGAGGCCAAACGTTTTTTGGTTTCTTCTTCGCTCCTGGCAAGCAGCTTGGCCCAGTCAATCAGAGGCGGCGGGTCTTCGCTTTTGCTCGGGCAAGGTGGTTCTTCAGGCGGATTGACGATAGCATCGATGAGCTCGCAAGCTTTGTGACGCGCCTCTTCGGGGCCGGAGACCTGGACCTTGGTTTCGTGAAAATTGTTATCTCCATCGTCCTTCTTTATCCAGAATCGCGCACCGCTGGAATCCTGGAGTTCACGAATCCTGGAGCCGCCTCTGCCAATGATTCTAGTGACGTCCTTGGATGGCACCATGAACTCTTCGAAATCGCGGCGCGGCGCGTTCGGTCTGTCACAGCTGCCTTGGCCACGGTCCCGACCTGCAGATGCTTCACCACCGCCGGTTCGTTCGCCGTAATTCCTGTATTCCGTAGGCATCTGCGGAGGAGGAACATACGCATCCTCGATCCATTCGTAATCGTCATTTGACGAAGCGGCGTTCATAATCAAGGACAGCGTTGTGCGACTCGTACGTTAATCAACTCGCAAATGCGGGCACGCAGTGCCTCTGAGGAGGCAATGGACACCACAGTACCCCTGGTGCAGAAAGATCGGCGTAGCTCCCTGGAGCGCGCCAAAAGAAATAAAAAGCCAATAACGGGGCCCGGCGACGGCCCTGTTCTTTGAGTCTTAATGCTTAGCTTAAGAAGCAGACACACCCATTGTTCCTTACACACAGCACTACGTTACCTCCAATATGGCAGCACAAATAATACATTGGAACGTCAGAGGACTCCTTAGAAACCTCGTTGATGTTCGAGAGCTCTTTTGCAAACATTCGCCGAAAGTGCTGTGTGTACAGGAAACTCATTTAAAATCTAAAAACACGAATTTTTTGCGTCGGTATGTTCTCTTCCGAAAGGACAGAGATGATGCTGCGGCATCATCCGGCGGTGTAGCCATTATTGTTAATCAAAAAGTAGCATGCACACATTTACCACTGCAAACAACACTAGAGGCAGTGGCTGTTCGAGCAGTTCTTTTCAACAAGCTCGTCACCATCTGCTCTCTGTACATACCCCCACACCACCGTCTCGGAAAATCACGTCTCAGGCCTCTACCTCTCGAAAGAGAGGCATGCACTCGGAACCTGACATTCGACTGAACGGGCAACGTCTGTCCGTCAAAGCCGAGCATAAATTCTTAGGCTTAATCTTGGACAACAAGTTGACCTTGGTACCACACATAAAGTATATAAAAACAAAATGTTTTTGCATTTTCAGTGCAGGCCTCTACCGTCTACCGTCTATTTCGTATGAACCAGCACATGCGAGGAACCTCGGCTGAAAAAACTCTATGGTAGTTTCCGTCGCAACATAGACACCACATACGACGCCCGAAACATCGCGTAGTTCATATGGAGGAGTTTTTTTATCTGCACTGTGTTTGTTTTCAACATCGGTATTCATCATCGCTGAAAGCGAACCTCGCACTAGCCAACACATTTTGGTTATGTGGAAACGTACATACTTATAGAAGTGTATTCGCGGATTGTACAACGCTGAAACATTCGTTGGCTTTGATGCAAATCGTTTTCGTGTGTTGCCAAGCTAATAACAAGCGTGCGCTGTTTGGTAGCAGTGTGAGGTGACTTCGTGTCGGGTACCACCAACGCTGAAACATTCAGCTGGCAGCGGTCTCATGTCCATTCACGTACAAGACAGAAACTCGAGCGTGCGTTGCTGTGGGGATTGAAAAAAGAAAGTTGCATGATTAAGTGCTGCTGGTATTGCCTGCTATTTCACTTCTTGCTTCTTCTGCATCTCTGCCATGCTCAGTTGCACATACGTTGTTTGGAGGCATTCTAACACACACATTCTTAATTTATAGTTCATTCTGATACTCATAGCTATAGACATACAATGGCGCTTCTCCGTCGCTTTACAGTTTACTATAATATAACGTGCGTTTTGTTTACAGCTGGGCAGATAACTGAAAACCTTGTGAGAAGCACCTGATTTGAAATCAGCTGCACGATGACACGATAGTTGGAAGAGATCACCATATGTATGCACAGAATGAATGAAGGTGCACTAGTATGGTACTGCACTTTGTATAGAAGAAATGCAAAGAGTACCTCATGTGACTTATGAGATTTTTCAGAACTGTGCATGTATTTATCTGTTCCTCCAAACTGTAATGAGCTGAAGATATTATTCGATGGTTTCGAACATTAAATATTTGTATGTTTCCAAGGAGTGCTTTATTTCTGTTCAGTTTTTTAATATATGCATTAACTTGGATTATATATATGCATTCACTTAAGCATATCAAGTTTAGCTCTGTTGGAAAACTTGCCAAAACTTCTGTACGGTTGCATGATGATGGATGGTAGCGCAGACAACGAACACGGACAAGAGAAGGCACATAGACACTTCTCTTGTCCGTGTTCGTTGTCTGCGCTACCATCCATCATCATGCAACCATACCAACAAGCCCAAATCGCCACCCTCATTGACTTCTGTACGGTGCTCTGGTGCAATCCCATAATCGGTATCTGTCCCATCAAAAATTTTGGGCATGCTTTATTGCATTATAGGGCATTTTGACAATTGATGACATGTGAAAGCCACAGTGCTTGGCTGTATTCTCAAAACCAACGTCTGTCTCATCAAGAAGTGTCAGATGCATTTTGTAAATGTTAAAGGATATTTAAACTACCAGCAAAGTGCTGAAGCCTTCAACACAGCACTGATCCGCAATCACCATCCAGCTTAGAAGTCATTTGTAGTGCTCTCTAACCCGTTCAAATAAAGTTATCAAACACTGGATTGATCTACTTGGTTTGATTCCTAATACCAGTGTGTCTGACTTTTTGGAGGCACTTGTATTATAATAATGTTCTATTTCTCCGATTTCTTACCGGGGTGCACTCAAGGGTAGTGATATTTGTTTACATTGGCACACTTACTGTGATATTACTGTTTAAACCCTTTCATTTTGTGTATATGTATGCCACTTTTGCAGTAGCCTCACATTGGGCTGCTGTATTTGAAAATAAATGAATATTCCATCCGAAAGTGTTCCACGCTGTGCTCGGTTCTAATCTGATCACTAATATCTGTTGCATCATGATGGGTCGAGTGTCTTTTATTTCATTGGAGAACATTTCAGCTGCCTTCCATGAAGGGTTCAGTTCCAGTATTATGACCGATATCTGTGACTTCATGAAGAGTTAGGCGCGGTTTATCGTTTTAGAAAATACTTTAACTACAGATAACGTCCAGAAGTCTTCCATACAGGGTTCAGTTGCAGTCCTATGGCCAATATCTGTCTTATCATGAAAGTTTCGAGTACAGTTAGTTGCATTGGAGCATATTTTGACTACAAAAAATGACTAGAGGCATTCTACGTAGTGCTTGGTTCCATTCTTATGACCAGTATCTGTTGTATCATTAAAAGCCAGATGCGGTTTCTTGCATTAGAGGATATTTCCAATACGCTTATCATTCAAAAACCCTCCGCACAGGGCACAATTACAGCCTCATGACCTAAGTCCGTCGCATCATGAAGAGTAGGGTGTGGATTGTTGCATTGGAGAACATTTCGGCTGCAGACAACGTTCAAAAGCCTTCTATACAGGGTTCAGTTCCAATATTATGACCGATATCTGTGACTTAATCAACAGTTGGGTGTCGTTTGTCGTTTTAGAGAATACTTTGACTAAAGACAACGTCCAGAAATCTTGCATTAAGGTTTCAGTTCTAATATTATGACCGATATCTGTGACTTCATGAACAGTTGGGTGTCGTCTGTCGTTTTAGAGAATATTTTGAGTAAAGACAGCGTCACTGTCATAGTAGTACTTCTCGAACATCAAAGTAATGTCTCTTGTATCTGTTATGAGCACACCGTTAAGAGTAAATAAGTTTGGAATCACTTTATAAATTCAATGGCATTGCTCATCAAGCAAAGCTTGGTGCATTGATTGCTCAGAATTCAAGGTGCGCCGGTGCCGAGATCTAATACGTGCCCCTTTGTAGCGAGCAGCATTATATCCTTGAATTTCATATTTTCTATTTGATTCATGTACATTCCTGGCATTTCGTATTCCATTTCATAAATATTGCAAAGACTTTTTTTAAGCAGTGTCTTTTCTTCATTCCTTCTGTAGTAAGACCCAACAGCTCCAATTTCTGTAGCTACACGGTCTAACCCCTTTATAAGAGATACTGATATAGGAGACAAATGTATATAAGAGACACCAGCGTGCCTACAGTAAAATACAGGTTGATAAGAAAATGCCTACATTGTGCCCTGCTTATAAAAGACATCTCATATAAGAGACTAGAATTGCTGCCAAGGGCGTGCCTCCTCTAAAGGGGTTTAACTGTAGCAAGAACTTTTTATTTTAAAAACTCCCAAGCAGCGAATATATGCAAACCAATTGAAAAAGATTGCCTCATTGCCATCTGAACATGATACATGAATTCCTGATCACAGAGGAGCTTTGAGCTCATTTTCCAAAGGATCTACTGTGGGTGGAATTGTTTGTGATGATTTTCACCAATTTGTGCTATAACAATACAATGGTCTGAGAATGCCACTGCTTCAGTGCTGCAGGGCATTTTACGAGAGAGGAGTGATGAGGACACGTAAAACAGCCAAGGAAAGCATAAAAGTTGCCCCAAACTGTTGTATATGCCATAGCCTGATTCGAGACACCAATGTTAATAAGTCCTGTATTATCTACAGTACTGAATAAAAGCTTGCCCCTTCTGTCTCGCTTGCCAATAGGATTGTTGCGGGAATTAGCATCACATACGCAATTGAAATCTCCCATAAGTACAGTGCATTTGTCTGCGTCAATTAAATTTTATACTTTTTTAAATATTTCAAATCGTTTCGTAACCACATTCAACAAATATATATTAATGATTCGCCATGGCGCTCCTTGCAACAAAAAATTACAGCATATATATCTACCCTCGTCGCTCACACTAGTGTGGAATGTTGAACAGGGTAAGCTCGGTCTTTCTCAGAAACAGCCAACAGCTTGCAGATAAACCTTTTGCATGTGAAACACACACATTATACTCAGACAGAAAAGGTCAAAGTGCCTTTCCAGTCTCGATCTTTGTCTCCTGTAGGGCGACAAAGTCGACATGCTTTTGATGGAAAAGTCTACGGAGCTGCGCCTTTTTCTGCAGAGACTTAATGCCCTGTAGGTAGCAAAGATAAGTGGCTCAGACTATGCAATAAAGACTACCTTCTATTGTGCTTATTGTCCCACTTGATCAGTCCTGACGTTCGATAGTGAGGCTTCCCGTGAGTCCCATTAGGCCTTCTAGATCGGGATCCCCGAAACTTCCTTTTGGGAATGCACTTCGGCTTTCTCCCATATTGCTGGATGTTTTTCAAGTAAGTTATAACATGGAGACACTCCCATGATCTTTTTGCAAAAGCCACACTGTATTAATACTGAAAAGAACTGAAAAGGAAAA